CGCCTCCCCCGGCACCTCCCAAGTTGAGGTTGCCCTGCAGCTCTCAACCCCCTCCCCCAGGAAACTTGATGCAGTCCTCCTCCCTTCACCCAGAGCCACCCAAGCCAAGTCAGGACCCAAGGGGGATCCCTCACTTGCAATTGGGAAATGAAGGAGGGCCCCAACACTGGCCCCTCCTTCATTTGGGCGACCGGGGCTGCTCCAAAAGGGCTGTTCTGAGGACACCATCTCTTGGCCCTCCTAATCTGTCACCCAGGCCGGTGATGCCCCAGGACCCGTTTGTATACATTGGGTGGTCCTACAGCGACATTGGCTTTAGTACTCCCTTTTGCAAGTACTAAAGCACGGCGCAGTAACCGCCCGTACCAGCAGCCCTTGGACTTACAACACAACTGGTTCCTGACAACCGCGTCTTGAGTCGAAACGTCCTAACTGGGAACCAATTTTTGCATAGGTAACAATGTTATGAATGCAGGATTGGTTCCTGAACCCTTTTTTCACCAAAAATAACCCAGAATTTTGTACTCAATTATAGATGAGTAATATAGCTACATGAATGTATTTATATCAGGGGTGGGCAAAATGAGGCCGGTGGGCCGAATGCGGCCCTCCAGGCCATTCTATCCACCCCACGGGTCCCCTAAAAAATTTAGAAAATTAATATATATATCTGCCCCTGGCTGCCTGTCATGTGGCCCTTGATGGCTTGCCAAAACTCAGTAAGTGGCCCTCTGCCCAAAATATTTGCCCACCCCTGATTTATATCATGGGCGACTGGTGCTGCCTTAGTGGGGGGGGAGGGCAGTTCCCCCAGGCGATCCCCTGACAGCCAATCACTGCAGCTGATCACTACAATCGCTGCAGCTGCTTCCAGGAGTGGCTGCGATCGCTTCTGGGAGCAAGTGCCGGCCAATCGCTGCAGCCGTTCCTGGAAGCAGCTGCAGCGATTGGCCAGGACTTACAAGGGGGGCACTAGTACTTCCGCCTGCCCCCCCCACCCATCGCCTGAGCAACCCCATGCACCCCCTACCCATCGCCACTGATTTACATTGTAAATAGCAATCATATTGATTTAGAAGGACTTCTTTGAGGTGACTTCACTGGACTTTTTGAAGGGCTCTTAGTTGGACTGTTTGAAGGGTTCTTGGCTGGAGTCTTCTCAGGAGTCTTTGCTGCAGTTTCTTCTGGAGTCTTGTCTGCTTTCTCAAAGGAAGTGTCCAAGGAAGTTTGGACAGAAGTTCTCCAGGGAGATGAGCAACACAGCAAACTTGTTCGGTGGCATGGAGTCGCATCGGATCAAGTGTTGTAAAGTCGAAAATGACATCAGAAAGTTGAAACAGGCTGTCAATTTATAAATGCTGTAAGTGCAAAATGTTGTAACTCGAAACGTTGTAAGTTGAGGACTGCCTGTATTGTGCTGGGTGCACAGCGCACGGTTAGTTTGAGCTGCTACTTTGCCAGAGCAGCACACTAAAAGGGGGAAGTATGTCACAATGGCAAAGTAGCTGCTGGTGATGCATAGACGCAGGTGGGCACTATGGTGATGTAGCGCAATATGTAGACGCACGCATTGATGGCTGGTCCCAACCCAGTGCCCCTCACTCCCAACTCACTGCCCCCAAGTCCCAGCCCCACAGTTTCTGGGTGGGTGTGTGTGAGACCAGGGAGACCCCAAGCTCTGCCAGTTTGCAAAGGAAAAGCCACATTTCCCACATTTTTTGCCTCTAAAGGAGAATCCATTTTTCAAGTTTGTTTGAGACTCTTTCATATGTTCTTGTGGCCCACTTTTGAGTCGCGACCCACAGGTTGAGAATGCTAACCTAGGCCCCCCCCTCCAAAAGTGGGAGGGAGTGAAGTTCATTCTTGGTGACGTTCCTCTCTGAAATCAGTCGAGCACTGTGGGGAGCAACACCTTCAGGAGGCTGTCACCAGAGCCAGCTGGAATGGGTGCCTGTGGTTGTGCTGGGGCTCATGTTTCACAGAGATGAACAGTCAGAACTCAAGACACTGCAAGAAGTAGACCTCGGGCCAGACTGCTTGGCTCTGAGGGACAACTAAATAACACCTGGTGCCAGGAGTCGAACAAATGAAGAGAACAGCAGCAGTAGCAGGAAAGAATGGTTAAAAGACCCACCAGAGTTGAAAGCGTGGACAAGATTTAAGCAGTGCTTTTATGCTCATTGTACCAGCAGGAGGTACCAGTATAACAGAGGCTGGCAGAGGGTGGCTACATTGCCGGCAAAAACTGGTTTCTAAAGAACCTAATGTTTATTCATAATTTTCAGTTAACACAGACAAAATATGGCCAGTAAATGTTGGAGCTAATGCTGAGAATGAAACTCTGCAGAAAGGAATTAAAGCTATTATGCCAGGATGGCCAAAACAGCATATTTCATGCCCTAACTATCAATATAAGGGGAAGCGCTCAATGCTATCTAGAACTGTGTTTTGAAACAGCAGGATAATTTCTCAGCAGCTAAAGAAAAGCATTAAAAGGATGCATTCGGAGATTGAAAATATCTCATAAGAACAGTGAGAGAGAGACAAGGATTTGGGGCTATGACAACTTTTCCTGGAGCAGCTGCCTAGCTGGGAGAGATTGTAGACAGGCTTTTGGGAACAAGGTTCTCTTCAGCAGGGCTGAAAAAGAAACAGTTGCAGCTTGGGATCATTATTAATCAACTACTATTAATTATAAGGGTAGCTTGTGCCCAAAAGCTTGTGCCTAAAATCTCTCCCAACTGTACAGCTGGTCCAGTAAAAAGAATGTCACCCAAAAAGTCTTTGCTTTTTTCATATTTCCTGGACCATCCACAGCTACAGGATCACTGCAATACTACCAACAGAACAGTGACATTAAAGAAGCTTGTAAGACTTGCCACATACACCAAATAGAGATAGGCCAAGCCAAACAAAAGAGCCATGTTGGCGACACAGGAAATATAGGCCCCCTGGGGCCAAGAAGACACAGATTTCTTTATGCAGACTGGGAAAAAAACTGCATACTTGCCCTAGACTATTATTCTCATTTCCTTAAGTCAGCCTTACTAGAAAATACTAGATAGGCAGAAAGCAGGGTAAAGTTGCACCTTATATACTAGAAATTCAGAGATGCATAAGCTTGGGCGAGCAAGCGCTCACAATGTCAGATGCTATGAAACTCCAGAGCTGTTGCTCACAAAAGCTTATGTACCTCTGAATTAGTTAGACCAGGGGTGCTTAGCCCCCAGCCCACAGGCTACATCCAGCCCAAGGGTCAGTTTATGCGGTTGATCAGTGGGTGCAACCCTACTTGCCCAGAACTAGCTGCATGCTGGCCTGACCCCATGCGCCCAGATCCAGCCGTGTATCGTCTCAATCCATATACCCTTCATCAGGCTGAGGAAGCATCTGCAATTGAGGAGTCAGTGGGTGAGAAATAGGCTGGGGGGGAGGGGGGCAGAGGGGAGGGGCGTTGATAGTGCACCATGGATGTTACCAGCTTATATACCAACACCCCACACCAGGATGGCATCCAAGCCTGCCCTACATACCTACAAGAGCAAGATGACAACTCAGAGTACAGACCTAAAGATATTACTGACATACACTTCATCCTCACAGACAACAATTTCACTTTTAATAACCAACACTTCCTCCAGAACATGGGCACAGCTATGGAAACCAAAATGGCCCCATAGTATGCCAACCTTTTTATGAGCCACCTGGAAGAATAATTCCTCAAGGACTGCACCATCAAACTCTTGCTATAGTTAAGATATATCAATTACATCTTCATCATTTGGACTGAAAACCTGCAACTTCTGATTGAGTTACATCAGAAATTCAACAATCATTACCCCTTCATCCGACTCTTGAATACTCTCCTTTTTAGACAGGATGATCAGTATCCAGAATGGTAAAATACAGACCACGTTGTACAAGAAACCCACAGACCAACATACATATCTGCACAGAACCAGCGATCACCCTTAACACACCAAGAAAGCTGTGATATACAGCCAAGCCCTCAGATGCCACCACATTTGCACTGAGGAGAACACCCAGGATTGCCACCTCACAAAACTTAAAAAGGCTTCCACTCAGCAAGAGAGA